AGCCAAAGGACTGAAATTACCCTAAGGAAGTTAGGGTTAACTTGCAGAGGGCAAAACCCCAATTTGCTGAAGACGTAGCAAAAGAATGGGTGTAAGGGGAACCTAATGACGTTTAAATGGATGGCAGAGAATAAAATTTCTTTAGGAAGGAGACCCTCACCAAAGCTCCCATCTAAGTTTGTAGGGTAGATCCTGAGATAAACGTCATTGGGAATGCTATTTTTGAAATGAATGGCGGTCAAATTTGAGGGAGCCATGGAGAATGGGAGGAATCTCTGGTAATGAAGGTTTTTCTTTAAAAAAGGATAATAAAAAAAAAAAACTGACCTTGAGGAAGAAGTTTGTGAAGTACTTAGCAACAACACAGTAGCCAAATCGCGAAGGAAAAACTCGCCGGAGAAATTGAAGAAAACTTGCCGGAAAGTGCAGGAAGATAACAGACGAGATTCAGGAAGACGACAACGGAGAATAAAAGTAGGATATGTTAAAGGAAAACAAGGGGTGAGAGGATCAAGGTTTTTAAAGAGAAGATATAGAGGCAACACAAAATTCAAAAGGTTAAGGTAAAAGTGGCGCAGCAGATCTCGGAGTTTGAGTTTTCGTGCCAGCCGTTCAATTCCTTGTGTTATCGCTTCGAGCCGTCAGACCAAGATTGTGTCTTTTCAATAATCTCACCCTAATTAATTCGGGGAGAGATTATTGGGGGCAGATGAAGACACCAAAAGTGATCCGGGCTTGGTATGATTCATATTGCTAAGAACGGGTTGGGTATGGGTAACCAAGATGGAACAAGTCCTCGCTGAATGAGTCCAGGTCTAGGAAGTCATTACGGAAATATTATGATGAAAGAAGTTGAGCCCAAACAAAAGGAAAGAAGATAGGTTCAGCTTAGGAGTGGTTATAACCGTCTAAGTGGTTGTAACTGTCTATAAATAGACAGAAATGAGAGGGAAAAAGGGTTGGAAAATTTTTGGAAGTGTAAAGTTTCTCTCTACAATTGAGGAAAATTCTTTGTACTTTCAACTACCTATTGAGACTAGTTTGAAAGCTCCTACTAGACTCTGAAGATGAGCTAATTGAGTAAAAAGAAAGGAGGAGACAAGTCAAAATAAGGAATTGTTGTCTACTCTTTAGAGTGAAAGTCGCCTTGCTTAGAAAATTTTACTCAAAATAATCTTATCTTGATGTTTTTCGATCAATATGATTTAGACAGTTGGTCAATGTGATTTGATTGAAATTTGATGAGATTGGATTGCACATACACGCATGTGAACTTGTTAGACAAATTTCTAAGTTTTCATAAAAATTGCAAGTTGAATTTCATGTTGTGATTGCATGCTTGAGACTTGATTTTATTGAATAATTTGTGGAGTCTAAAAATTGTGTTTTAAAATTCTCTAAAATTCTTGAGAAATTTTTGGATCTCATGTATACTTGAAATTTATGGAAATTGCCATTACATTATTTTTGTTCAAATATCAGGAAAAAAAAAATTGAAAAAAAAATTCCAAAGAGATTTTCCTTTTAGTTTTTAATAGAAATTTTTGTTTGGATGAAGATATCATGTGTGTGATTTTGAGCATGATTGGTTCTATTTATCTAGTGGATGGAACATGTGTTATCTTGGATACTTGTCTTTGGTTTCATTGCTACTCTATATCATCATGTTTTTTGCTTATTGCAATATCTTATGCATGGAGGTTTTGATCTATTTTCTTGTTAATTCTCCCACGTTATTTCTTTTTTTTCTATGTTGAGTTTTATTTATCAATTTGTAACAAAAAAGGGGAGAAGTGTGCGTATTTGAGAGGGAGAGTTTCTAGAATTGAGGAGGAGATATATATATTGATTGTTTATCTTTTTTGATGAAGCTTCACGGGTAGTTTTTGTTAAGGTAATGTGCAGATTACAGATTGCTACATGTTTTGAAGCTTCATGAGGTTCAAGAAAAATTCCGTTTTTTTTCTTTGACAATCATTGTAATTTGTTTTTTCTGCTTGGGTAGATTACATGTTGTTTTTAGGGTTTTGTCACGAAATTGCCAAATGGGGAGATTGTGAAAAATATATATTTTGTATATTGGCGAATTTCGTTGTCAAAACATATCCGATCGAGTTGTAATTTTTCGGTTCAAAATTTCAAGGTTGAAGATCGGATGCAGATTTGAAGAAGTTCAAGTGTTCATGGTTTACTACACTCTGGAATGATGAGAACAATGCTTTAGAAAGGTATGTGAGTAAGTGAGAACAATTTAGGGAGTTTAGAAGGTTGAAGGGAACAGAGGTTTAACTTCTGTCCATTGGGAACCGGTAGAAAAATCCTTGAAACAGTACCAAACCTTGGTTCACAGCAGAGTTCTTCACTGCCCTTCTTGAACCGGTACCACAGTTGGGAACTGGTAGCCAAAATGCTTTGGAAAGACTTCTGACCTTAAACTGGTACCACAGTTGGGAACCGGTACCAGGAATCCTGACAGCATCAGAATTTCAATTTCTTTATCCGTTTTGATTCCTTTTTGGACCAAACTTCCTTTCAAATCCTATGCATGAAATTTTCTATATTTTCAGAGGGATTAGGACATTCTAAACTCTATATAAACCTTAATAGTCATCTAGGTTTAGACACGGCTTTTGCATACAAAATTCAGATCTATTAAAAGCCATCTTTGAGAGATATTTTTTATTCATTCAGAAAATCAATCTGATTTTTCTGATTTTATTTTTGAGAGCACACACATAAACCCAAGAGTGATTTAGTAATGTTGTTCTTTATCTCATCGGAATTGAAGTATAATTGAAGATTCAGAAATTCCGAAAAGCATTCATTCGTTCTTCATCAAAGAAAAGGGGTGAATTGATCACACTTTGAAGGGGTCAGAACATTCGTGGAGTGTTGTCTGATCTACCTGTAACTCTTCTACAGAGATACAAAGATCAAGAATAAGCCTGAGGTTGAGAGCTATTGGACGGAGGAGTCGCAAAGCCAGGGATTATTAGCAATTGATTTTTGATAGAACGATAGGGTGTGAGACTGAGTCAAAGTTCGGTATATATTGCTTCAAACATAGTGGATCGTTTATCTCAGGACTGCACAGTCCAACGAGGTTTTTCCTATTACAATTGATCTATTCTACCAATTGGGGTTTTCTCGATAAAATTATGGTGTCATCTCTCAAACTCTATTTACTTTACTTGCACTTTATTTTTGTTTTGTGATTTGATTTTAGTTTTATTTCGGTAAAATTAAAATAAGTAAAAATTGGATAAAAGTGCAAGTTGAATCTATTTATCATCTCTTTAGATTATCTATCCATATTATATTCCACAACTATTTCGTTGCGCACAAACTCCTACCAGAGAATCGGAGTTGCGGCATAGATTCAGCAACTATATATATATATATATAGAACACCTGAATGATTTCAACTATTAAGCCTAAAACGAACTCAGATTGAAAAATATTAACTTAACGATTGCTGACTTGATATAATGCCAATTACCAATGAAGATGACTGAATTCAGGCAATTCTTACTTCTTAATGAGAACTAGCCATTACTTAATGTGACTGTTGCACGATGCTCACTGTAATTACTTTTTATTTGTCATGGCTTCCATATCAGTCCTATCAATGTTACAGTAAATTTTACATAGATGTGGCGAAAAAAAATTTATTTTGCATAAACATTTGTAATATTTGGCAAGTTCTTTGAAATGAGGGAAACAATTTTATTTTTACTAATTTACTATTATACTATTTTGTATTTATTATTATACCTCTTTGACAAAAAGAGAACTTGAGAATTGTTTGCATTGAGAATTGTTCTCATCCATGGCACCTTTTTTGGTGTCTATTTTAATTTTAGCTGGAGCCACACAATCTCATATTACTTTGTACGGTTAGATAAAAAAATATATATATATAGTATTACCATCTTTAGGCATTTGCATTGTTATCTTCATAAAATATAATCATCAACTTATTTTTGTTATTTTAAAAGTTTCCTAAAGTTGTTATTATTTTTCACCTAGGATGGTAAAAGAAAAATAATTATTGTACAATAAATTGTTAAGCTTGCTTTTTAAATTGATCAATTAGACAACAAATAACAAAGTGGAGTATCTTACTCTTTGTTATCTCCTGTGCTAATAACTTTTACCATTATAATGATAGTATGTTACTTGAACTTCACCAATACTAGTAATTAATTTCAGTGATTAGTTCAACGGTTAAAACATCACTAATCGACAATGATAGTTGTATAATTTCACATGGTTATTTCACATGATAAGACATCAACAACACAATGACACTAATTTGTTACGGATATCATCGGTCACTATTATTAATAATAATTAAATGCGTAGGAGAAATTATTTTTTTCCTAAATTTTAAACTAAAAAGTAACTATGTTAACTTTTCAAACTACGTTTAAAAAAGTGTGATGGTATGGCTCATTGTGGATGACTTATTTTTTAAACCTTTGCAGAAACCCTTTAGCCTGTTTCAATTAATGTCCCTGTTTTTTTCATTATGTCCACAAAAAAAAAAAAAAAAAGAAAAAAAGAAAAAAAAAAATATATATATATATATATATATAAAGAAGAAGAAAAAGATAGGTGCTATATGCATAACATAATTTAAAACACACTTAGAAGCTTAGCAAATTCAAGGTCTGAGTTCGAGTCTCGATGAGTGTTATTTATGGTTAGTCTTTATTGTTCCTGTAATAACTTACTTAGTCCGGGTGGGTTGGCTCATTTTCGGGTTCTCAAGTATTAGTCGGGTTGTTGAAGGGTCTTCATACCTTTCCGGATACCCGAATTAATTTAAATATATAAAAAATATAATAATTTAAAACACACATATCTCATTCCAATTTATATATATTTGCTTTACCATTAAAAAAAAATAAAAATAAAATCCCAAATTTTACCAAACACCTCGCAGGTTCTCTCTCTCACCACACATACTTGAAGAGAGAGCCATCCAAATAGACAGTATCTAAAAAGTTCCATTCCAACCACAAACACGCGCGCACAAAATATCAGTGTCTCTCTTCTCTTTCTCTCATCACTGATCGGTGGCGAAAGGCAATGGTGATGACACTCAGAGCCTCGGCCACCACTACACCTCCTCTCCCATCGCCTCCTTCTTCACTACCTTTACCACCCAGAACTTTTTCTCTCTCTAAAACTACACCCAAATCTCAATTCAGACCCACCTCTTTATCACTCCCAACTTCAACCACTCTCTCTCTATATGCTTTCTTCACAACCCCCTACCAAGCCAAAGCTCTCGAACTCCCCAAAGACCAAATAGTCTCATCTCTCACTCAAGTAATTAATTCCACACATTACACACTTTCTTCCCAAAAATCTCATCTTCTTTCCTCAAACTCATTTCTACCCATTATGGTTAATTCGATTTTTCTTCTGTAAATTGTAGGTGGAGAGTACGATTGATCAAGTCCAAGAAGTGGGTTCGAATTTGTTTGATGTTGCACAACGTGTTTTTCAAGTTGTGGCCGAAACTGTGAAGCCAGGCATTGATGTGGCGTTCCCAATCTTGAGGCAGGCCGGAGAACAGGCGGTGAAGATTGCTTCTCCGGCGGTTTCCGAGGCTTCGAAGAAAGCCCAAGAAGCAATTCAGAGCTCAGGCTTTGATACAGAGCCTGTTCTCACTGCTGCTAAGGTTTCAACTTCCCTTTAATTGCTATAAATTATATTTTGCAATGTACATTTTGCTGTATAAGTTATGGAACCAAGTGACTAGCATAAGATGTTTTTGAATTGGATTCTGTTGTTTTCATACTTAACTCTATTGTATGATTGCTTACTATTTCTGGAATTTTTGTATTGATTTGAGATCACTGTTCCTGATATGTGGTTTGAATAGGGCTGAATCCCGATAAAATTAGTATACATTTGAATGCTAATTTGATGAGGAATGGGTGTGCATAGTAAAAGGCAAAGTTTGAGCCTCATTTAAGATATGAATAAGCTAATTACATATAGATATTGGGGTTGGACTACACCGTGGAAATTGAATAACCCCAAATTTTTATTTTAATTTTTTCCCATCATATGTGTGATTATTATGTCTGTCCTATTAGTTGATTTAGGTATTTCTGTTTGCAGAAGGGCAGTTTTTACAATAAAGCATTCTTATCTCTATATTACATTATGTATTCTTCTGTAATTTACAATTATCTTGTGTATTCAGATTCTAGTATAATGCAGTGAAATGATTCACTTTCCAAGGTCATCTAGACTCCACCACAACAACAATAACAACCAAGCCTTTTCCCAATTATTTGGGGTTGGCTACATAACTAGTGTGTTTCCATTCGCTCTATTTAAGGCTACAGCCTCAATCAATCCACATGCTCTCATATATATTTTTACTAACTCTACCGACATTAACTTTGGTCTTCCTCTTCCCCAGTATTACCCTCAATGTGGGCTATGCCACTTTTCCTAACCGGCGCACTTGACAGTCTTCTTTGCACATATTCAAACCATCTTGACTGATTTTCTCTCATTTTATCTCCAATTGGAAGGTCATCTAGACTCCATTGGACATTGAAACGATTAAAATTTGTTATCCCTTAACACTTGGGTGACTATTAGTGTATTATATGTAAATGTTGAATTTGAGCAATTTTAATTTGTTTGAAAGTTCTGCTTTGGCAGCTACCGTATACAAATAAGAATGATATTTTCGATTGCAGACTGTAGCTGGTGCAGCACAAAAGACAACAAAGATAATTGAAGATGTCAAACCTATAGCTTCATCAACGGTAGAAACCATCTCATCGGCAGACCCCATTGTAATTGTTGGAACTGCTGGAGCATTATTTCTGACATACCTCCTCTTTCCTCCCATTTGGTCAGCCGTCTCTTTTAGCCTTCGTGGATTTAAAGGTAAACTAGTCATTTCATGTCTAAAGTTGCTTGTTATGCAAAAACAATGACCAAATTTTAGAGCAACAACCTTTTAATTATTATTATTATTTATTACTTGGATAATAATAGTTTGTGATTTGCAAATGTATTCTGGTGCATAGATTTATTATTCAGGAATTAATCTGAAGTTACAAGGAACAGTTGCCATGGTACTCTTTTTTTTTTTGTTAATTTGTAGAAAGTTTGGTCTCAGTTCTGAGTGGAGAAAAACTTACATGTGAGAGACAGAGAAAGACAGGAAAGAAGTTCATGTCAGCATATTTTATTTTGTCAAAACAATTCCAATGTGCACCATTTTGTGAGAGTTTCTTGGAAACTCATAATTACTTTGGAACTGTTGATTAAACTCAACATGTAATACAGGTGTAAACAATTAACTAGGTTTGTGGTTGTCAGTTTCTAATAACACTGGATTTGATACATATGAAGATGTATTTTTATAAACAAATTATAATACCCTGCTGCAGTTTTGTTATCACATCGTTCATTGTAACTTACAGAAACTTATGATAGATGGCATGGTAATAGAATCACTGGACATCCTTAGGATGCACACTTTCAGTCTGATAATTTTTAAAGAATATTTTTTTAATAACCTTTATTTTCAATGATACAATAAGATCAAAAGATAGAATATTGACTCTTTCCTTTTTCCTTCTTCTTCGTCTTCTATTTGTTCTCTTCTTTTGCGTGTCTAGAAGAAGAAATATTTCTCTTCATATGGTGCTTGAAGTCTTGGCCATTTACTTTACGCTACAGGATTCTGGTTATAAAACTTCCTTTTTTCAAATTTTTAGAGGGCATGGGGAGAATATGTTATTTAGGGAAAAACTCAAACAACTTAGAATTTTAAGTTACAACTTGGAACCTAGGAGAAGTAGTAGCAGATCACATGTTATGTAATTTTGTGCTTATTGAATTCAAGTACATACTTGAATCCATGCAACTTATTACAAACATTATGACTACTACTATATTATTGTGTTTTCTTTCAAATGAATGAAATGTAACTTTAAATATATATCTCATCTGAAACCTTTATTAATTTGCTTCAATATATGATTTTCCAGTTATTCAATATGTTCTGTAAATACTTTTTTATATCTTTTAATTTAAATTTTACAATTTGAAGTATGATTAAAATGCTATGGTACATAATTTTTTCATTACCTGCTTTTACCAGTTTATATTTATTGCTTAGATATTGGTTTTTGTCATGGTAAGTGCGAATTTCTTTTATTCTGCCCATTTTCATGACAGATGAACCAAAGTTGAGCTGATAGATCATAAACATTTCTCTCTTCAGGTGAGCTCACTCCTGCTCAAACCCTCGATCTCATGTCAACAAAGAATCACCTGATGATTGATATCAGATCGGAGAAGGAAAAAGACAAGGCTGGTATTCCTCGCCTTCCTTCCGGTGCCAAAAACAAGATGATTGCAATACCGTAAGCAACTCCTGTCTCAACCTTCAATTTCATTCCAGTAAGCATTGATTAGTATGATTTTTTCTGATTGGCTTTTGTGCCCCTCAACAACTTACCAGTCTGAGATCTTAAGTACTGGGGCTTGGCTTACCAAATAGATTTTGTCGTGTTTCAGGGAAAAACAGAAATGAAAAAAAGAAAAAATATAAAAGTCACATACCATGCACCCGTTTTATTTACAGTTTATAAGTCTGGATAAAACAAGAAATTAGGGCTCTTTCTAAAGTTCCCCAACATGCAAGATTTGAGAATTTTTTTATGATGACACAGATGCAATTTCTGGAAGAAGTTTTTGGTGTGCTTATGATGATGCTAGGAAGCCTGTGGTTGGAACTTCCCTGCAATTTGGAAGTTTGAATCCTAAATTTCTTATATGGTGGGATGCAAGATAGAAGTTTTGTGTTGTCTGTTGGCACGAAATAAAAGCTATAGAAATTTTCTCTTTAATCATAGCATTACTATTATTGTGTCCACTGTTCCCTATCTATTTATAAAATAAAAAAAAAAAAAAATAAATAAATAAATAAACAAAAAAAACAAAAACAAAAACAAAAAAAACAAAAGTCCACTGTTCCCTAACACAACGGTTGCTTTTAATGTTTCAGTTTGGAAGAATTACCAAGCAAACTAAGAAGCCTTGTTAGAAATGTAAAGAAAGTAGAAGCTGAACTATTAGCTCTGAAGATTTCATATCTCAAGAAAATTAATAAAGGTTCCAACATTGTGATCATGGACTCGTGAGTTCCTCCTTTCTCTTCTGATTATGAATTATATATAGTTACAGAGACCCGATTTAGCTTCACTTCTCTGAAACTTCTTTGTATATTCTTTCATAATTCATCTTTTTGAAATGTTCAGTTACTCGGATTCAGCCAAACTAGTTGCTAGAGCACTTACAAGTCTTGGATTCAAGAATTGTTGGATTGTGGCTGATGGGTTTTCTGGAAGCCGGGGCTGGATACAAAGTCGGTTGGGAATAGATTCGTACAAGTTCGCTTTTGCAGAAGTTATCTCCCCATCCCAAGTAATTCCCGCAGCAGTCAGACGTTTTGGTACAACCGGCTCGGCAAAGTTTCTTCCTGGGAGCTCTGATTGACATTTTTTCTTTCAGCTTAAGTCTTGTGATGTGTATCCTTGTTTTAGATTAGAGAGTCCTTCACAATCATCTCCTGTAAATTTTTGACCAGTTTTAATCAATTTGGTCATCTTTTGCCTCAATTTTTTTGATAGTTCACATGGTGTGGCTTGACATGGAAAAAGAATATGTAGAGTAGGGTGACACTGATATACCAAAATGCATGACACACATGGCTCTGGCACTCATGTGTAGTATGAAAATTCACCATTTCAATTAGGAATAAAGAGACTTGATTTTTTATTTTTTTTAAGGAGCCTTCTTTAGCATTGAGCACACTGTTGCTTCTCAGATTTTTATAGTGTTTTTGGATTGGAGGAATGGAAATAAAAAAAGGGAGAGATGCAATAAAAGAAAATAGGAAAATGATATGACATGCCACTAATGTTTAGTTTAGTTTTCTAAAAAAACAAATTCAAGAGAAATGTTACGTTTAAAAAAAAACCAAATTTTCGAAAGTTTTTTTTTTTTTAAATTATCAATCAAAAAATATTTTATACTATTTTCTGATTTCCAATTCTCTTTTTGGAGGACTGTTGTTTTCAAAAGGTTGCTCCTGTGTTTTCAAAATTTCCCAAAATTCCATTTAGTTGTTCTCTGCAAATCCTCACTCTTGCAACTCAATTTCTAAAAATTATTTTTCAAAATAGTCTAATTTTCTGATTTTTTGTCACTCCAAAACAAAAAAACACTGTTACGAAAGTTGCAATTCAAGAAAGGCTTATGTTTTCTCAACACTGAATCAAAGTACCCTACCCTATATCTTTGCAAATCAAACCCTTTTCACTATAGTGCAGGAGTTTGAAGCTCTTCAAGGAGGAGGAATTTTATTTTTTGGTTAAAAAAAAAAAAAAAATAGTGAAAAAGAAAATTGTAGAATGGTTTATTAACTTTTCTCAAATAGTAATCTAACTACAAACCTTAACAAGCAAAAATTACACGTGAGTCCTATTTTTTAATTGAGACAACCATTAAGTCCTATGAATTTTATTAGAACAATAAAATCATACTTTTAATAAATAATTATTCAACGAATTACACGAGGAAAAAAATATTTTGGTTTGGTTTGACCCAAATTTATTGTAAGAAAGAGTTAATGTGCAACATCGAGTTGTCAATTATGTGTTTTCATGAAAAAGGCAAACCAATTCGAAGAATTTTATTACTCCATATTAAGTATTTAAGTTATTGCATATCCATTTTGGCTTATAATTTTATTTATTTATTTCACATTTCATGAAATATTGTGTCACTAAATTTCGTCCAACTACAACATCTTTTTTTATTTAAAAAATTACTCCTTATTCCTAGTTTTTAATGAAAGTTTATTAGGACAACAAAGTCCTACTTTTAATATATATATATTTTAAAGAAAACTAAATCAATATTCTATTAATAATGATTTTTCCCTAATATTTCATTTTTTAAATACTTTTAATGTTCTTTATAATTAAATACTTATTATACCATTATCTCTAATTTTTATTTAGTATCAATTTATAATAACAATGAAAAGAAAAATTGCCACCTAATGAGCAATTTTCTAAAATATTTAACAAATTAACTAAAGTTTCACCATCTATAATGAAATTTATTTGTAACATGCATAAAAAGTTTCACAATTTTTCTTTCATACTGTAAATTTGTGAAAAATCAATAACTGATATATATATATAATTTTTTTTTTCCTACTTCACATTGTTTCTGAACAAATTATTTCAAGAAATAACATTAAACTTAAATAATTTTAGATTATGTGAAATAAAAAAGTTCACCAAAAATAATTTAATTTGAAGAAGAAAAGGGCGTTATAAACTTATAAGTGTTTCAATAAAGGCAATAATGGGAAATTGTTTTAAACATGAACCAAAATTAAAGGATAATTTACACAAACCTTTCATATAGTTTGTCATAATTATAGGGATCTCCCTCTGATTTAAGAATTTACTCAGACCTCCCACAAGAATGAATTTATTTTACACAAACCTCCTTTTTGTTAGAGTCAACCTTAGTCAAGACGAAAATTGCTGACCTCATGTACAAATTTTACTAAAATTTCAATAATACCCTTATCCCTATATAATTACATATTATAGGTAAAAGATATACACATATATATATATATACACGCACGCACGATACCTAATTCATGAACCTGGTCATGAAAAATAGCCCAGGAAATACACATTTCAAAAAATCCATTTCATCACCAGAGAAAACTTCTAGCTCCGGCGAAGGCAATGATAGAATCGGTGAGCAAATACCAGAAACCAAAAATTTCGTCGGTGAAGACACGGTGGCTGTGACGAGGACGGCGGCCAGAGAGAAGTTTACATCCCTTTAATTCTTAGCGATTCTGGCAAAAGGAATGTGGCTGCGAACAATTGGGTTTGTGGGTATGACATTTGCGATTGAGTTTGATCTGTGTGATTTGTTTTTTATTTTGGAAGTCAAAATTGAGAGTAAAAATATTGATAAATATTCAAGGTTTAATCAATGAAGATTTTGTACCATTTTCAAACTGTTTAATTAAAATATCTCGATGTTTAATCAAGAAAATTTAAATTCTGTCTCTCTTTAATTTCTAGAATTCCAACCTGCCATTTGTTTACCCAGAAGATTTAGCTTTACTTGTAGTTAGTACAAGAATTTCAATTTTCTTCTCTTTTCCAACAGTTTCTCAGAAACCAAATATATAAAAGTATTAAGAGATATATATAGAGAGAGAAAGTACCGGTTCCAAAGCGACAACTGAGGTTGCACAAATTCTGGACGAAAACCCACAAGAGGAGAATTGGAGAGAGGTTTTATGCCGAGAATTGTGAGAAAGAGAAGGGTATTAGGGGAAAAGGTCGTGGCAAAGATGGCGAAGTGAAGACGAAGAAGCAATCGCCATATTTGTATAATTTTACTTTGATGATGATTATGATGATGAAGAATTGGGGTTTCTATTTGTCAACCCCTTTTCTTTCTGTGTACTTCTGCGGATATACACAAACTCACATATCTAGGCATTTTTGACAAGGAGATGAAAAGGAAAGAAAATATTTATCAAGATATTGTACTCTCACTTTTGATTTCAAGATAGCAAAGGTGAATTTAATGTATATCAAGGAAGTGCAAAGATGTTGATGGCGGTGGCGCCCATGGTGGTTGGTGGTGGCGGCCCAAACAGTTTAAGATTTAATTTTTTAATTATTTTCTCTCTCTCTCTCCACAGGGTACTTTAATAATTTATCATAGAAAATTAGGACATTTTAGTAAATTAGTTAGGTTTGACAATTCGTCACATATAAGGGGGTCGTGTAAGATAGTTTACTCAAACTACAGGAAAAGTTCGTATAATTATTATAAACTATAAAAAAGTTTGTGTAAATTATCCAAAATTAAAAGCAAACAATTCAAAAGTGTGTATACATATAGTAAAATAATATAATACATTAATACTCTACAACAGTACAACCTTAACCCATCATCAACCTAGTACAACCTCAACCCATCATCCACCTCACTCACGTCGCCCGTACTCATAAAAAAATTCTGTGTATACAGACGGACTGTCTGGTTGTTGCAGGCTTGCAGCACCAGATACAGAGTATGGACGTGTGATATACATATATATATATATATATATATATATATATATCTAATACATATAATATTGTAATCAAGGAGCTGCAATAACGTTCATCCAGAAGATGAAGAAGATGAGGTGAGTGAGAAACTCAAATTATAGAGAGGAATGGCTTACAAAGCCCTAGACCATATCACCTCCTCGGACATCTCAGCACTTGGTTTACCCTCTGAAGTTGCAGAGTCAATTTACGAGAATCTCACTCAAATCGTCCGTAATTACGGGAGTGCCACGCCGGAGTCATGGCAACGCATCTCCAAACACCTCCTCAACCCGGACCTTCCCTTCTCTCTTCATCAGATGTTGTACTACGGCTGTTACCAGGATTTCGGACCAGACCCTCCTGCTTGGTTACCTGACCCGTAAGCTCTCTATAACCTTCTATATATTCATTTTCTTGCGTTTTCTCAGCAACCAAATTGGGTTTCTTTCAATTTTATATGTGCCCTTGAGTTGAAGAACTGAAATGATCAGTACACTAGATAATATGTATGTAGATTCTCATATAATTTAAACTGCAAGAGGCAAAAATTAAAGTAAAATAAAGGAAAAAACTGGTGGAAGCGGATAAAATTTATGATTTTTTACTTTTTGATAGCAATTTCGTGAAATACACACACATATATGCTCACTGCTTTATATATATATATATATATATATATATATATATATATATATGCATTTGCATATACATTTATATGAATACATGCTGGTTAAAACAATTAAATAGAGTTTCTTATTCATATATTTACTCATAATTTTTAGTGGGTATTCGACTATATGAATTGTTGGGAACTAGACTAAAGAAAATGTAAATCTGATTAACTCATATCATGGTCTTTGCATTATGTTATAGTTGTCCTTCTTGATTTTTACATATTTATTTGTGTGTTTTTTGTACGGGTAGGGAAAGTGCAAATCTAACTAATGTTGGCCAGCTATTAGAGAGCCGTGGAAAAGAGTTTTTGGATTCAAGATACAAGGACCCCTTATCAAGCTTCTCTGATTTTCAGGAGTTTTCAGTCTCAAACCCTGAGGTATTATAAGTATATTTAAGGTTGTGCTATTAATTAAACTTTTACATTGTATTCTCATATGGACTGCAGGTTAATAAATGTTTTTTCTTTAATATGTTCTATTTGTTAGGTTTATTGGAAAACTGTACTGGATGAATTGTGCATATCGTTTTCGGTGCCTCCCCAATGTATTTTGACTGAGGATCCATCTGCCGACAGCCCCTTGTCCCACCCAGGAGGTCAATGGCTTCCTGGAGCTTACGTGAATCCGGCAAAGAATTGCTTGTGTTTGAATGGTAAGAGGACTTTGGACGATATAATGGTAATATGGCGTGATGAAGGAGACGAAGAGTTGCCCATTAACAAGATGACTCTTAAGGAATTGCGCACGGAGGTCTGGTATGCAATTTTTCGTTCTATGGCACTTTCTTATAATTCAAAGTGAAATTCAATGCTTAATTGATAGATACTTCAAGGCTACAAATATGGCATGTTTTCAGTACACTTACTCGAAGCAGTAGTTCCCGAGCAATGCTTTCACTGGTTAACCTTTGTCTATAAAAAGGAAATTATCTTGGGTAAGTTAGTGGAAATTTTCGCCAGATTCTTGCGTCTATCCTCTCAAAAGACTGGGATCTGAGAAATAATTGACAAGGATATCAATTGATGGCGTTGAAATGACATAGAGATCAATGAAATTTTATAGCAGGACCCAAGGTGCTAGTAATAACAGTATCTACTGCTCCAGAGAGCACAGGTGATGTATGTAACATTAGCACTTATATAACCTTGGTCTTGTTTTTCCAGGACAGTCGAAATGGTTAGTTCTACTATATTGTGTGCTTTTTGGAAGCACTTGCAGATTCATAAAAGTAAAACTACAGTTGTGAAGTTTGTTTTGCCATGTTTATGTTCCTCAGGTTGGTGAATTAATAATGCTCCAAGTGGAACACTGATAGTTATGGTTTCTGGGATAGAGTTTAAGTGCTTGTATTGAGTCAGAATGGTGTACTGCGTTATACAATTCTTTCATTTCTTCTTTGGATATGTTACAGCTGCTGTGTGCTTTGGAAGCATAGGCACTTGCACATTTAGTTTTATTGTGTTTTTTTTTTTTATTTTTTTTTAATTTTTTTTATTTTTATTCTTATCCTTTGTTGCTCCAGATCTAAATATTCTATAATTTAAAATTCTGTTGGAACTGCATGTGTAGGTTAGTTGCACATGCACTTGAAACACTGGGATTGGAGAGAGGATCTGCAATTGCAATAGATATGCCGATGGATGTCAATTCTGTGGTGATCTACCTTGCTATTGTTCTGGCCGGCTATGTTGTAGTCTCCATTGCTGATAGTTTCGCTGCAAGTGAAATATCAACAAGGATCATGTTATCTAAAGCAAAAGCAATTTTTACTCAGGTTAATATCCGCTTTCCCTTTGAGTTACAAGAAAGATCAAATCTGCAATATCTAGTGTTTCTTCAAGAATTCAATCTGTGATCTGCAACGTATTTCATGAATTTTTTTGTAAGTACTCCACGCTTTTATGCAGTAGCAATACTACTTACTGGAATGAGCTCTTCATCATTGAAAAGTTCTAATTATTTCCGCTCATTTCGTGGTTAGTATTTTTCAATTCAACGATGCCTTGTCCCAACCATTTGAGTTGGCTACATGAATCCTGATTTGCCTTTCATTTCTATCTAAGGCCATAATTTTAGTTACCAAAAAAAAAGTGCTATCATTTCCTTACTATCTCAGCCCTCATTGTGGACCATCTCATGCTTTGTGTCTTTATCTCATTCACAGCCAATACCAAGCCCAGAATGGAGGGTTGGGTAGGTAGATTGTTAACCTAAAAGGTAAAACTCATGATCACTCCCTACGAACATGAATGATTCTTGCAGATCTGAGTTGGATCACATCAATGATGTGCTGTTTAACTTAGATATGTTCATGCACTCTAATGGGCTATTTGGAACTTCCAGAAGTCAGGCTGTGCTATAGCAAAGTTGTTCAGCTTCTCATGACAGAGTAGAGTTGTTTGGTTTCCATTTTTGTTAAACCTGTGTGAGTTGTTGGCCGGTGAAGTTGTATTTTTACAATGCTGCTTAATTATTCATTTTCCAGAAAACTCTAGGTAGCTTAGTTTTTCATGTTCATGTGGAGTAGGTATTCATTTGGGTGCAACACTTGTGACACAAACAAGAAGCGCAAAGTCAATATTTATTGTAGTTCTAGTTTATAGAGAAAGAAGATCTAAGAAACTTTACAACTAACCTCTATCTAAGCTTTACAATAAATGTTACTAGACAAGCAAGCAGTCCTATCTACTTATTAAAGAGTTTTTGGAAGGGAAATCAGAGAATTTCTTTGTAGATATACGCTAAATAAACTGAACAAGTAATTTGGCTCTCTACTCAATGATCCATTGAATGGGTATAATTTTACGATAATGTAAAACAGACTGTGGTATCCATGGATATCATAGAGGCATTTTAACCTGTGAGAAGTTGATCACTCTATTCACTAGGTTTTACTCCTTTTTGGATCACATGACCAGAAAAAATTCAATTGTTGCCAGCGTGATTATTCTCTAAAATCAATTGCTTGTGGTTTATATATGAGTAAAGGTCAAGAACTCAATTGAAAGCCCTAGAATCAAGATGATTTAACAAGAACATTTGTTCTAGTATCAGGATGTTCATTGCTTCAACTTGAGGATGTCAAAGATTAATATCTTCCTTACAGTTGCTTTAAAATGAATCCCAATTTAATCTTGGGCGATTGTTTTCATCAATTATTTATAGAAGTAGAATGTAAGTTATTTTCATCATTAATCAACTTTTATGTATCTGTCTTCCTTAAATGTCTCATCCTTCAAACCTACTTTGTCAGGATTTTATTGTTCGTGGCGACAAAAGAATACCCCTATACAGGTTAAGAAAATCTACTCTCTTTTGATGAATACATTTTCCCCCCTCTTTCTTATGACAGAATTTCTCATGTATTGGTTCAAATCTGCAGGAGAGTAGTTGATGCTCAATCACCTACAGCTGTTGTTATTCCCTCCAGACGCTCAAACATTAGCATAAAATTGCGTGACGGTGATATTTTATGGCACAATTTCCTAGAAAAAGTCAAAGATTTCAAGTATGTATTCTTATTTATATGGCCTTTACTATTCAGTTGCGTATTACTTTTTTATTTTTTTAAATGGATAATTATGTATATCTTTTTCTCTTTCTACTTCTTACATTCCATAGCTACGGCATACTTGAGAAGTTTCTCATTCTAACATGATATTATGAGACATTTTTGATATGGAACATATAACTGCACTGAGATTTCAATTAGAAACTTAAATACTATATCATAGCAGAAATGAAAAAAAAAAATTGAAATTCATTAAAATGATAAACCTATGAATGCGATTTTCATGATACAATGATTCATCAAATTCTCCAGCAGCAAATATGGCGTCTCATGTAGAATTCTATTTTTTTTCATAAACAATTATAGAGTACTAGTGGATTTTACTTAAAAACATTCTCAGGGTTGATTCAGAAGTTAATGTAAGTTATACTGGGGCTAAAATATAAGCCTTACACAAGTTGCTTCTGCATTTTTTTTTTTTTTTTTTCATTTTCCACCAACTGTTGTGGATGAACACCATCATGCTTAATGTAAAAGCAATCTTTGCTTGGTTATCCGTGGCTACCCTTTGTTTAAATCATAAAGTTGCTCTGGATGAAATATTTCTATATGTTAGGTACATGAGTCCGTCTAAGCCTATGAAATAATTGTCCAGCTTAATTGGTTAAGTTTGGAGGAGGTTGCGTCCAGAACTTGGTCTGAGCCTATGCATCAGCTTGGACATCTAGTTTGCCTCCCGGCCGGTTTCAGTAGTTATTATTGTTGTTGTTATTGTGGTGGTGGTGTGTGTGTCTGTGCATGTTGGGTTGGGTGGTGGGGGGGTTGATGTGGGGTGTTGATGGAGTTAAGGCTTCAATTGGACCATGCCTGCCAACTGACTCATTTTGTATTACCCTCTAAATGCCATTTGGGGTTCTAAAATTTGAATTCTAGCTCCACATTTTCATCAGTGCCTTTCACTTTATCAGGCACCTTATCAACTCCCAGTACTGAGGGGTGATAAAATACAAAAAAGGGATTCCTTAGGTTTATTTGAAACTTGATCATGCCTTTTGCCTGACTCATCTAGTATTGCCCTCTTAAGTGCAACTCTGGGACAAGTAATTGCTTATTTTATGTTATTTGATGAACTTTGGAGCTGCACTCTTCCACCTTTGTTCTAAGCTCTTTGTTCTCGTATCATGTGATATTTCCCTTTGCCTGATAAAATCTACTTGAATCTCAATAAATTAGGGAGTTTTATACTTAAGCTTGCATAATAACAACTTCCTAGCAGGTCCTTTTCGTAATCACAATTGAAGGGCAGATAAGGACATTCTTACTGAAATCTTTATTTGCCCAGTCCTATTGGCGAATTGCTATTGGCTTCTTGACTTGTGTATTATCATGCACTCGAGATGTAAAACCGTTTGCTGAATTTTTTTCCCCTCTAGGGTTATTACTGTGTTTCCTGGGCTCTAGTATTTGTATCAGGTACATGTAAGACATGAGGTTATGGGCACTTTTCATGAGTTCCATTCAAACGGGAGGCTCGAAAAATCGTTGAACGCATCTTTTATTACTCTTATTCCTAAGAAGGGCGGTGCTTCTGATGTTAAGGACTTTAGACCAATCAGTTTGATTGGGTGTGTTTATAAGCTTATTGCTAAAGTTCTTGCGATTGGATTAGGGTTTCTGGATGGAGTTATTTCCGAGTCTCAAAATGCGTTCATTGGGGGTAGACAGATCCTGGATTCCGCTCTCATTGCCAGTGAATGTGTGGATTTTCGTTTTAGCAGTGGTGTTCTGTGCAAGCTGGATATCGAGAAAGCTTGTGATCATGTTTGTTGGAACTTTTTGATCTACCTACTTGAAAGAATGGGCTTTGGTGAGAAATGGAGGAGTTGGATTGTCACATGTATCTCTTCTGTCAGATTTTCGGTGTTAGTGAATGGGTCTTCATCTGAGTTTTTGGCAGTTCTCGCAGTCTGAGACAAGGAGATCCTCTCTCCCCCTTCCTGTTTATTATTGTTATGGAGGCCCTTAATCGGTTGATGAGGAGGGCTGTGGACTTGGGTTTTATCAAGGGCTTTAAGGTTGGTCCCGAATCCGTCCAGCAGTTGGAGATTTCTCACCTGCTTTTCGCGGATGACACTCTGGTTTTCTGTGAGGTTGAGGTGTCCCAGTTGTGTTATTTGAGATGTGTCCTGGTTTGCTTTCAGGCTGTCTCTGGTTTGAAAGTTAACGGGGGTAAGAGTGTGCTTGTCCCTGTGGGGGAGGTTCAGAAGGTGGATTCTCTTGCTGCCGTTTTAGGGTGCGGGACGAGATCTTTCCCTATTTCGTACCTGGGTTTGCCGCTGAGTGACTCGGCCAGGAGGGTGGGTAGTTGGGACCCGGTGATTGAGCGATTTGAGAGAAGGTTGGCTAGATGGAAAAAGCAGTATCTCTCGAAGGGTGGTAAAGTTACTTTAGTGAAGAGTTCTCTATCCAGTCTCCTTATATATTTTCTCTCGCTTTTCCAGATCCCACCCTCTATTGTGGGATGCCTTGAGATGCTTCAACGTAATTTTCTTTGGGGTGGTCGGGGGGAGGATTTCAAGTATCATCTTGTCCGATGGGAGCAGGTTTGCAGACCCTTTCAGTTGGGAGGGCTCGGGATTAGGAGATTGGCTCCTTTCAATAATGCTCTCCTAGGCAAGTGGCTTTGGAGGTTCGACAGTGAGACACAGGCTATGGAGGAAGGTCATTGTCTGTCGGTTTGGGGAGGAGAGAGGGGGTTGATCAGCTAGGTCAGTCAAATTTGCCGCTGGTGTGGGGGTGTGGAGATCCATCGAGAAAGGGTGGGATGAGTTCTCTAAACATATTAGATTCAGAGTTTGAGATGGTAGGAATGTCTGGTTTTGGGAGGATTCCTGGTGCGAGGAACGCCCATTGTCTCTTTTGTTCCCAAGGTTGTTCAGGATTGCTGCTGACAGACATGCTTTGGTTGCTGATTGCTATTGTCTTGATAGTGGTAGGTTGTCATGGGATGTGAGGTTTCGGCGTTCTTTTCAGGATTGGGAGTTGGATGACGTCACTGGTTTGTTGGCTCTCTTGTATAGACAGGAGGTGGACGGTACTAGTGCGGATTCCTTGACTTGGGTGCCGTCGGCGCGGAGGACCTTTCAGGTCTGGTCCTTCTTTTTCTGTCTCTCTGGGTTTCATGGCTCCAATTTCTCGTGGAAGACGGTCTGGTTGTCAAAGGCGCCTCTTAGGGTGGCCTTTTTTGTTTGGACAGCTGCTTGGGGAAATATTTTGACCCTCCTCGACAATTTAAGGAAGAGAAGACAAATCATTGTGAACCGATGTTTTTTTTTTTTTTTTTTTGATAAATAAAAGAATATTATTAAAAGACGCTCAAGAGGGGAGCGAATCTCAAGGAAATACAAAGGAGCACAGAGGTCTCAAGCCTTCAAAGAGGCCAAAAAATCAACAATTTCCTCCAACGATCTATGATCTCTTTCTGAAACCCAACAAAAAAGAGTGGAAATAATTGAGAATTTAAGCACCGAAATCGATACCGTCTTTCCTTCAAAGTATCTCCTATTCCTTTCAAGCCAAATACACCACCACACACAAAGCGGTGTAGCTCTCCAGGCATCCTGACTGAGAGCCTCCACATGGCAACCTCTCCACATCTCAATCAACTCTCTAGTAGATCCTGGCATAACCCAATAAAACCCAAATAAGCCAAGCATCAAATCCCAACACTCTCTAGCCAAAGAGCAATGAATATGAAGGTGATCCACAGATTCCTCATCACGAAGACACATATAACAACGATTGACCACCACCTGGCTTCTCCTTCTCAAATTATCCTGGGTTAAGATCCTACCCAGAACCGAAGTCCACACAAAGAAAGCCACTTTGAGAGGAGCCTTAGAACGCCAAACAGACTTCCAAGGAAAACGAACTCCAGGATTAAAAGAGAGGCACTTGAAGAAAGACCTCACCTCAAAACGCCCCTTGGAGTTTGTGACCCAAGACCAACAATCCGAATCCTCCACCACAATCCTCTGGCGATATAACAACTCCAAGAGACGAATTGCCTCATCAATCTCCCAATCATAAAAGGCACGCCTGAAAAGAAAATCCCAAACCAGTCTCCCATTATCAAGATGATAACAGTTAACCACCAAGGCCTGCCTATCCGAAGCAATCCTGTAAAGCTGAGGAAAGGCAAGAGCAAGAGGAGCATCACCACACCACACATCCTCCCAAAAACAAATCCTCCTCCCATTTCTAAGACGAAACCAAATGTGCTTGGAAAAATCATCCCAACCCTTCCGAATAAATTTCCAAACTCCCACCCCCCGAGGATTTCTAACTTCCAAAGAGCTCCACCCTCCTCTCATCACTCCAAAATGACAAGCCACAACCCTCCTCCAAAGCCAATGTCTCTCCACACCAAACCTCCACAACCATTTTCCAAGAAGGGCCTTATTAAAAGGCACCAATCTACGAAGACCCAGCCCACCATTCTGAATAGGCCTGCAAACCTGATCCCATCTCACCAAATGGAACTTAAACTCTTCACCTCTACCCCCCCAAAGAAAATTACGCTGTAACCTCTCAATCCCCTCCGCAACTGAGGATGGAATATGAAAGAGAGAGATAAAATAAGTGGGAAGGCTAGAGAGGGTACTTTTAATCAGAGTGACCCTGCTGCCCTTGGAAAGATACTGCTTCTTCCAACCTGCCAACCTTCTCTTAAATCTATCCACAACTGGATCCCAAATCCCCACACACCTCGAAGGAGCTCCCAGAGGCAAACCTAAGTAAGAAATGGGAAAAGCACCAGTGCGACATCCAAGGATGTCAGCAAAAGTCTCAATCTCAGGAACCTCCCCAACCGGCACCAAAACACTCTTGCCCACATTCACCTTAAGGCCGGAGACAACTTGGAACCAAATCAAGACACATCTCAGATACCTAATCTGGGACACATTCGCATCACAAAGAACCAAAATGTCATCAGC